GGAAATTTTAGCAAATACAGTGCAGGAAATATTTACCCATTTACCTCATCAATCCAACAAAGAGCATTATCATGATGAAATTGGGGGGGTAAGAGATGCGGGTCTTGTGCTGGTACAAACAGCAGGGAACAAACATTTTTATACAGCCAATGAAGGTGGTTGAAAGCATTTGAACAGCACCTAAAAAGGATGAGAGGGGAAATAAAATCAGTCAGAAGGTGGTGGAACACGACAAATCAAGCAACCTCAGAAAATTTCTCAGACAAGCTCCTGTAGGACTTTTATCTATGACCAAAGTTTCATCTTCCAGCAAGTGGAGGAAAGAACAGTGTCAGAAACCCCTTTAAAGAACATAATCACAGCTCACGAGTTCCCAGCCCCAAGATCCCTCCCCACATCTCCCAACCAGGCCTTTTTCACTTCAGTTGAACCACTTTGTCCCTCAGCTTCATACAAGAGGATCTGGTACTGTCAAATCATAGAATATCCTGAGTTGGAAGGGACCCACAAGGATCATCAGCTCCTGGCCCTGCCCAGGATCCCAACAATCCTCGTGCCTGTGGAGCCTGCTCCAGTCAAATAAATCCTATATAAATATCTTCCTGGCAAAGGAAAGGAGTACCTAACATGCTGGGCTCTCCTTCCAGCAAGGAGAGGATGTATTTGTTAAGAAAAAGAGTGCAAAAGCTGAAGAAGAACCACAAGGTGAGGTAGATGAGAGCGTGGGAGTTCCAGATGCCCAGGTCGGACTCGATGACCGTGGTCTCCGTGATGGTGATTTTGAGGACGTTCTCCTCCGGCACGCTGTCACTGCGAGCTATCACAAACTTCTCACTCCTGTGAGCAAAGAGGGAGCCCAGGTGGAACAGGGATTTTCCCTTTGGCTTCTCTTCCAGGGGCGAAGGACTCGGTGCCTCCGGAGTCTGAGCGCTTGCCACGGTCGACATGGTGACTTTAAGGAATTAATGTTTGTCCTCAGCACGAATCAACATTGACTTAGCACAGCACTTGACTTAACAAAAATATCATGTGATTAATGCTTCATCTCCCATGGCCTGGAAAGGACCTGCACTTGGTCCTCCAAAGAACATCTTGCACAAAAATAAACTCCGCGCTCTTCTTCATGTGGCCTGTTCCATGTTTTCTGCCTAAGAGGGAGAGAAGGAAAAAGCGTGTATGCTCTGAGAGACATTTTAAATCCCTAATGCAGCAAAGATACCACATTTCTCCCGCGCTCTGTCAAAGATAAAAAGACCTGTGTAGTCTTTCAAGACTGGATTTTGAACTCCTCGTATCGTGATACCAAGATTAGGCACCAAGGATTTATCCAAGGGAGGTTTTTCTAATTCTAAAATAGCATGTACACACACACAACAGACTTCATGTGGTTTGAAGTTCTTTCTCCTTTAAAGCACATCAACACGGCCTTTCCACTTATAACTAACTCCTCTTCCTGATTCTCCAGTGTCTTTGATCTCAGTCTAAGGTCTTCTTTAACCACTCCACAGAAAAATATTCCCAACCCAGCAAATCCAGGCAGGAGCCTGGACTAATTAATCTGTTATCAACCCGAGTCAAATAAGCAATCAATAATCAAGGACTGTAACTGCCAGTAATCACAAACACAATTATCCTGGTAAATGTGAATTCCTAGGTGAACAAAGTAGGAAAATATGTCCAACAGCTTTCCAAACAGACTTGTTCTCTATTTAATTACTTGTAAATAATGCAACATCACTTATTTTGCCACACAGAACTGCTGTACCTTGCAATTCAATATCAGTACTTGCAATAATTCTTAAAGCCTTTTTTAATAGATCTGACAGAAAAAAAAGGCATTAAATCATTTGCAACTGGAGCTTTCTCCTTTTACAGATGGCACAAAATGTGCCAAGTTACAGTTGCAGAGTCCAGAGAGCAGCAAAACCCCCCCTGTGACCTTCATCCCTCCCCAGCCAGGCAGGGTCAGCCAGTGCCACTCAGGGGTTCAAAGTGTAGTGAGAAACAAAGAAACTGCACCTGAGCAGCTGATCTGCAACATCAAAACACACTCTGAATTTACTCCTTTTATTTCTGCAGCCTTTGTCTTAAGAGCAAGTGAAAATTGGATGAATCAGATGCAGATGAATTGAGGGACTGGAGCTCTTTTGTTCCTCAGTGAACAAGCACTCGGGGAAATTACATTTTAAATGCTTGTCTCCAGAAGCACATTTAGTGGACAGACAAGACAATGGGCCTTAAAAGGGGATTCTTGTGGGGGAAGTTAATTACTGGACATCTTGGAAAAGCCATCTGAAATGAGATCCTAATAGTACAGTGCATCAAACAACAGCAGCACAACCGACATTCAATGGCAAGAGAAATACAAGAGTTGTACCAAGAGCTACTGCACCTGCCCTGATTCTGGGAGCATGTGAACAGGTGAACAGGACACATTATTTTCTTCAGGGGTTTTTTTTGCCCAATGTGGCATCTCAAATAAATCATAAAGAGGTACTAAAGAGTTAAATATCTCCTGTCAGAGCAGCTGCTTTACAGTGAAATTTTCCATTCCTCACATTCTCTGGTTCTGTTGTTACAGCCAAGCACTGCAGATTTCCATCCCCGTTCCTTTATCTCTTTCCATTTTCCCAGGAAATCATGACAGCAGCAAACCAAGGTATGAGACCCTCTAACACACTCGTGTTGAACCCGTGCTTGTGTTAACCCAGTTCAACACAAAACTCTGAAGGAGGAGACACGTTCTCCAAGAGAATTTGGTAAGAAAAATGGATTCTTGGCTCCTCCTCCTTTTTCAGGTCTTAAAAAAATGCCCCTCTGCATTCAAAATAGTTGGTTAGCACAGCTTTTTCAGTACCTTTTCTGTTTATACAAGTCAATTAAAACCAAAAGCAATCAAGCACCATGAAACTCCCACCCTCGGCAGCGCTGGGATATCAGGTTTGATATCGCTGATTCCACACATGGCAGGAAGCAGAACAGCAAATAAGAACAGAACTACTCCCCTAAATTACTGACCTGCTGGCTTAAATCATCTGGAAAGCCTAAACGGGCTGAAAGAGTTCTCCATCTGGAACTAATTCAGTCTTCCTCCCTCAAGGCCAACCAGCAGCTGATGTTTACCAACAGCTGAAAACGTGGCAGTGGTTGGCAGTTGTTTCTCTTGGATTACACACAAAGCCTCAATCCTCCAGCTCAAAAGAACCAGCACCGTGCACTGCCTTTTCCTTGTATCTCCTCCAACCTTCAGCTACACTGCCAGTAACAACGTTGTGTCAAGGTGGAAAGCACATCCACAAAGAACTCTCTGAAGTCAGCTTTACTCAAGAAAAACTAAAGCTCAATTATGCTGCAAGTGCTTAAGGCCAACATGACAGTGAAAAAACAGAGACTTGTGTCCGTGACCCTTCCTCTGTTACACAAGAGGTCACCCGAACATTGCCCCCAGCACAGCAAACAGGGCAGAATTCAGCGAGTTATGGCTATTAACAGCTTCATTACATTGTAACGATAAACACAGGCAGTAAGCACAATACCAAAACTATTAACGGCTCCCACACAGAGAGGATGCCGAAAGACGGAAATAGCTTCAAGACTTTTCTCGCATTCCAAGGCTGTTTCTGGTCACCCACTCCTAGAGCCTTCCCTGCCCATTCCGAACCAGCCCCACGCAGACAATTCCCGCTCGCCTTCCAGCCCCCGAGCAGGGCTCGGAGCATCCCGAGCATCCCCGGCACAGGAGCTG